TCATTGTGCTCCCATGTTTTTCAAGAGGATAGTGAATGGTTCAGTTATTAATCAATGCTCGAAAACTTCATATTTTATCATAAATCTCAATTTTTTATGGGTCTAATTAACTGTAAGATGATTGAAAAAGACAAATAAAAAAATGAGGAGAATTGAATTATTTATTGTAATATTTAATTAAAAGCAATTATTGATAGATCAAATGGTTTTATTAACAAAACCTCAAAAAATTATGCAAAGAAAATAGTCCTTGGATGATAGAATATTGTCTTAAGACTAGTGGGTAGTGAAAATAATTTTTATATATTTTTTTCTTCTTCCAATGTTGTGAAAATCACTTCACAACTTAATCTCCTTTGATTAGAAAGCGGATAACCAGAAGCAAGGGAGAAAATGATCTACACAATATTTTATATTGTTTGATCCTACTTTTCAATTTTACATCTAATCCGCACAAACAAGATTTCTATTAAGACAATTGAAAGATAGAACGTTAGCATCTTTTGCTAAAAAATGTTCAGGCCTTACACACTTACTTTATTGAAGAGAAAGAAAATATAATTATGGTTTTGTGACGTAGTAAGAATGAAGAAGAGATAGTAATATAAGTCTCTAATTGAAAAATATATTTAGAATATAGGTAGTTTGGGGTTTTGTTGCCATCAATTTCATTCTCAAATTGTTTTTCTCGGTAGACGCTGGCCTTCAGTGGGGAGCATTATCCTTCTAAGAATGTATGTTGGACCCATTTATTGAGCATTTAATAATTTTGAAATGTTGTAACTATATACCTTTAAATTGGGAATAATTTTTTTCTTCTTTAATTGGCTGAGAATTAGCTCTGTATATTAGGATTAGAATAGGGAGAATTTTTCAATTTTCATTATTATGTGGTAAATTGACTATTTGAAATACTACACTTATAATGTTAGACATGATGCTTAAGAGTGTTATATTTTCAGAGTTTGACCATGCTTTGTTTTATTTCCTATTCGGGATGATAGAATATTGAAAGACCATATTTATATGGTCCATATAATGAAATAGATAGAAATATGGTGTTATGATGATTTTCCTCCAATCTTCGTGTTGTTGCCTATTATTATGGTATTAGAATTCATGAGATGAATTATAACCTCCTCATCTTTTTTCATCTTTATAGTGAATATGTTACCATGTACTATTCTTATTCATTTAATTACATTTTTTTTATTAAACTAAAAAGTTGAATTGTTTTTTTATTACAAGCCATGCTTCTACCGAGGTTCTCTTGGACTGAAATAAAATGTATTAATGCTTTAAAATTTCAGAAAATTTTAATGTTTGAAATGAAGGGAGAGAAGCATCGGAAATATAAAATGGGAGACCATAAAGAATTCTACGTTCTTATTTGAAAAATTAAAAATTCTATATTTTAAATAATAAAAATTTCCAGTGTTTTCATTATTTTTCTATATAAGCACAATTCAGTATAAATTATTTCAAATTCTAAAAAAAGTAAATTATTTTCTTAGAATTTCTCATCAAAACACACGAGGAATGATTTGATAAAACATCATCAAATTTAATGATACTGTAAATTTGTATTGAATATTTTTTAAAAATGATAAATGTTTTATTTTACAGTTAAAACATACTTTTTTTTGGCTCCTTATCCCGTGTTTTAGATATACGACAGAAAAATTATAAATACTCCTACATGGTGGTAGGATATATTATAATATTCTGCCTTTTTCCGTTGGATTTTAACAAGCATTTTAAGGACCAAAATGAACAAGTGTTTGAGAAAAAATGGGTATGAACATAATTTTATGTTTTTTATTATGCCGTATATATTTTTCATTAGTAGTTTTGTTTCAGCAAACTATAACTTTTATAACTTAAAATACTCGTTACCAATCTTCTTTCATTTGTATATCTTCCTTCTGCTCCTAAATCTTTAAGAAGAACAACCAGGGAAACTATGCTACAGAATACATGTGACATTTAATTGCAGATGAATTCATGTAAAAGAAACATAACAAAATGGATACAATAATTAGTCGTATGATGCTTTCCTTTATTCATTTATTGAAATTATGCATTTACACGCAAACGAATACAGTGTTCTCTTTACGTGTACAAGTTCTTGATGAAGAAGAAAATCACAGCTCTTGGAAGAATGATTCTGTTTCTGATTCGCCATTGGACGATATGAATGCATTTTTAGCATAAAGGCCAAGTGCCACAAGGGCCACAACTGCATAGACAACCACCATCCATTTCACGATTTTCTTGAACTTGTTATTCCCTGCGTGAGAATCTCCAATGACTTCATTATCAACCTGATTTCCAGAACCAAGTGCAAAATCTATTAGCCTAGTTTTGGTTCTTGAAACAGGCCTAGTTTTAGGGGCTGGTGTTTCCTCTTTTGTCTCACTTGAGCCATTAGTCTTTGTTTCCTCCTTCTGGGGTGTCTTTTGGTCTGCAGAGACTTCACCGTTGGTCTTCGTTTCTTCGTTTGGGGTATCTTGTTTTTGCTGTTCAACCTTTTGTGTTGGAGCTGTTGATTCCTTGGGCGTATTGAATGAGAGTTTTCCAAATTTGATTGATAGCGTGCCACCCTCAAACTTGGCAGTGACATTGTCGGTGTCATAATCAGACTGAATGGGTAACTCTAAAGTGAAACGACGCCATCTGTTCTCAGCGATCATTCGTTCACCTATCAGCCTTAGGGTAGGCTTTGAGGTCACTTGAACCTTCAACTGATCCCTTCTAAAACCTGCTCATAATTCAAAGCATGTGAAACACAAAATGATTTTGGATAATAACTTGTATGTTTCAACATCCTTATCTGTTTCTTCCGTTGTTGGGGTAGCAAATAATTAACAGGAACAAACTTGAAGAAGTTGAAAATGCATTTACCTGGTAGCATAACATTGACTTGCCTTTCGTCTCTAACCCATTCGTACAATGGTTCAAAGTCTTCGTAGACACGATCAGATGCTGCTGGCTGTGTCCTTGAACCCATATTTCAACCCTAATAACTTTCTCTCTTGCTTTCGAGTTTGATGTATATTTGCTTGTTGGTATTGAATTGCACCAAATGGTTCTTTTATACTCGCAGGTGATGAGACAATTAGGACCATTTTGCACGCAAAATGTAGAATTTTCATTGCCTTTACCTTCTTTTCGTAGGTGTAAAACACTGTTGTTAGTTTGTGTGGTGCAAGGAAAATAATATGCTTTAGTAATGAGAGGAGGTGACCTCGTTCATTGGCAATGCTTAAACCTAAAAGCAAAATTTTGTTCCCAGACCAAATCTTCAACCGACAAATTCCACCTTTTTTCCTGCTCAAGATATGCTATCTGCTTAGGACTCTTCCATTTGCACGTGTAATTCTTGTCTCTCTCCAACACTCCAAATCTCAATTTCAAATCAATTTTTTTCAGTCTCTACCAAAATTGATTAACTCATGTAATTCAACACTTTAGTCCTTTAATCAAAATTACGCTTTAATTATCAATTTGGATGTCAAGTCTATAAATGCCAAGAAACCATGCTAGTGTTCAAGGAACCTGGAACTGACATTGTTCAGACATACTTCGTATGGAATATTGCCGACAAGTAAAGGAGTACAACTCATTTGGAATATAAAAAAGAAAATTTGTTTTTTTTTTTCTTGGGTTGTGTTGTGTGTGTTTTGATTTCACATGGAAGATCATTTCCTGCTCTCCAGCTGTATAGATTTTCAGTGAAGATGAGGACAGACATGACTGAATGGATATACTTTGATTTGATTATTATGTGTTAATATTAGAAAAATAACTCAAATAAATATTATTTTGATCTCATTAATAGTTTAAAATTTAATTTTAGCTTTTAAAATATCTTTTTCGACTTAATTATTTTTGCAAAAAATTAAATTAAGAACTTTTTAATTTTAATTAAATACCAAATAGATTATAACATATTAGTTTAAATCTTTGAAAAACAATTATTTGTATTTTGTCCCTGATATTATTTTTGAAATAATTTTAGATTTTTCTCTTTACTCTCTCAATTTATTATAAAATTCAATATATTTTCATCGTATTGTGACGTATAGTATTGTACAAGTGACTTAATAATATCATTCCTTAATGTTCTATAACATATTCAATTTCAAACTTTTTTCCTTTTACTCATACTCTACTTTCTTATGGTAATCAAAGTAAATATTTGGCAAATAATAATTAACTTATTATTATTACCTATATTTTAGTAATTTGAAAATTAAATAATATTTATTTTCGTATTGTTAATTTGTGGATTATTTTGATTTCTCGAACAATTTTTTTATATAAAATTAAAAATCATATATTTTAAAATGAAGATTAAAATATCAACAATATTAAAAAAAATAATTTAAGTTATTAAGAAGTTATTAAATAATTAATAAGGATTGAGACTTATAACATCCACTTAAATTCTAATTAAAGAATCATCAATTTTTAGACAATTTTTCTTATGAATATTTGAAGTTGGATTGAAGAGGATATTTGATTCATTTATCCTGATTTAGAAATACAAGGTACAATACTTTATATATATATATATATATATATATATATATATATATATATATATATATATATATATATATATATTACTTTCTACTCAGGAAAAAAATAAAAAAATATTATTTTATATAATTTTTCTTACGTAAATAAATAATTATTTATTTTTATATTTATAAATTTAATATATATATATATATATACTTTTAATTATTATTTAATAAAATATTATAAATATGAAAAGATTATAAAAATGAAATGAATAATTTAATATGTATTATTTATTTATAATACAATATTATTTTATTGATTTTTTTTCAAATAATTTTGAGAAAAAAATTATAATAGCTTTTTTTATAACTATATATCAATATATATATATATATATATATATATATATATATATATGTATATATATTATATAAAATAATATATTAATTTAAAGATATTATTTAAAAAAAATTATTTTATTAATAAAAAAATTAATAAATATATAAGTAATTTTGTAATTACATAAATATTTAATTTAAATTTAATTACTTATTATTTTTAAAATAAATATTTTTCTTTTTTTATGTTACGTTTTTTCAAATAAAAAAAATTATAGCTCTGTTTTGTTTTTTCCTTTTTATTTCTTTTATTTTTTTCACACTTTTCTTTTATTGATTAGACCCTTAAGGTTTTTATATTTTTTATTAAATTTAGTTCTGGTCTTTCTATTTTAAAATAATTAATCAATCTTTATACTTCACAAATTGGTAGCGATAAAAATATATTATTACATATTAAATTTAAGAATAAAAAAGCTAAAATGATATATGATACAAAGTTAATTATTTTATCAATTTTATAATAATAAAAACTTACAATTAAATAAACAAACTAAATCACATGTTTTTAAAATTATCGATTCATTGATATCAAAATACAAAATTAAATACAAATTTAAAAAATTACTCACCCAATATATATTTTTTATTTTGTTTATATGCCCAAGAACAGTAGTATAATTTTTTTAAGATATCCAAGTATGGGCTTGATTCATTTATCTCTGAACTTGATAAATGTGGGACCAGGAAGAGAGTGCACACACCAAGGAATGAGATTAGATTATGGTACCGTATGTTCCATCACACTGCAATGTTTTCACAAAGTAGCATTCAAGAAATAACAGGGAAACAAAAAGGAGGGAGGACAACCATAACAGTTTGTGTTTTACAGTGTCATGTGAAAAAAGATGGTTACAGACTCAAACATATAGTACTACTTTAAGGTTGGTTATCTTGCCTTAACTGAAATAATAGTTGGTGTTAACTGAAATAATAGTTGGTGTCAACTATGGAACTACAGAAGGCAGGAACAAGTTTAGTTTTTGGTGTTAACGGTGAGAGGTTTGAGCTCTCCCACGTCGACCCATCAACTACCTTGCTCCATTTCTTGCGCACTCGCACTTGTTTCAAGAGTGTCAAGCTCGGCTGTGGTGAAGGTATCTATATCTATCTCTCTTTATATATTTTTTTTCTATATATTCAACAATCTTTCTTTTTTGGATTTTCAATGGATTAGTTGAAAGTGGTGCCCTTGAAGCATGCATGCTGTTCCACTTTTTGCACTTGTTTGAACTCCCTTTCTGCTTACTCTCACTTTATGGAACAGTTACATGTCAATATATAGATTACACTAAGCATAAGCGTGGTCTGTTCTGGTTCCATTTATGTATGAGAGTGCTTTTAAGAAGCGCTAATTTTTCTTTCAACTGGGTACTTCATGTTTAGTCATGGTTGGTTTCAGGGGGTTGTGGTGCTTGTGTAGTTTTAATCTCCAGATACGATCCTGTGCTTGATCAAGTTGAGGATTTTACAGCAGGTTCTTGTCTCACTCTACTTTGCAGCATACATGGGTGTTCAATAACAACTAGTGAAGGAATAGGAAACTCTAAAGAAGGATTCCACCCAATTCATGAAAGGTTTGCAGGATTCCATGCCACTCAATGTGGCTTTTGTACTCCTGGAATGTGTGTTTCCCTCTTTGGAACTCTTGTCAATGCTGAAAAGACCAATCGTCCAGAACCACCCGCTGGCTTCTCAAAAGTTACTGTTAGTGAGGCTGAGAAGGCTATTGCAGGGAATCTTTGTCGCTGTACTGGATATAGACCAATTGCTGATGTCTGCAAAAGCTTTGCAGCTGATGTTGATCTAGAGGATTTGGGGTTCAACTCTTTCTGGAGAAACGGAGAGAGCAAGGACTTAAAGGTTAGTAGGTGGCCTCAATATGACCGTAGTCAACTGAATAGTAGATTTCCTACGTTTTTGAAGGATATCAAGCATGATGTGTTCTTTGCTTCTGAGAAGCACAGTTGGCACAGACCTATTAGTCTAACTGAGCTTCAGAGCTTATTGAAATTAAACAATTCCAACGGAGCTCGGATAAAAATTGTAGTTAGTAATACAGGTATGGGATATTACAAAGATAATGAAAGCTATGATAAATACATTGATCTAAGGGGAATATCTGAACTTTCAAAGATCAGAAAGGACCGAACAGGGATTGAAATTGGAGCTGCGGTGTCAATAACAAAAGCCATTGAAGCACTGAGGAAAGACATCAGAAGTGTCTTTCTCTCAGATTACGTAATGATACTTGAAAAGATTTCTGATCATATAAGCAAAGTTGCCTCAGGATTTATTCGGAACACAGCCAGTGTAGGTGGCAATTTAGTCATGGCACAAAAGAATAATTTTCCCTCGGATATTGCTACAATACTTCTTGCTGTTGATGCAATGGTTCACATAGTGACTGATATGAAATTTGAGTGGTTGACACTAGAGGAGTTTCTAGAAAGACCACCAATAGGTTTGGAAAGTGTGCTTTTAAGCATTAAAATTCCTACTTTGGAACTCAAAAGTGAATCCTCAGAACCACGAAGTAGATTCCTCTTTGAAACTTATCGAGCTTCTCCCCGGCCCCTTGGAAACGCCCTTCCCTACTTGAATGCTGCTTTCCTGGTAAAGGTGACTCCATGCAAGAATTTTGGTGGAACTGTGATAGACACCTGTAGGTTGTCTTTTGTGTTGAACATTCAGGGACTTGATGTTGCAAATAATGATCATGAAGAATGTTGATTTTGATGATGATTCAAGAGCTTAAAGACTTAGAGTATTGAAGATTGAAGATTGATGATTTCTGTATTGTAATAACTCTGTTTTAGCTTGATTGAGTCTGTAATTTTAGAGTCTAAGATAGCCGGTACATAGTCTGTAACTTAGAAGCTTCAAAAAGCCCAAATATATCATCCAGGCTCGGCTTTAATCGATTATATAGGGAAATAATCGATTAAAACAGTGAGAAAACCATTTTCAGCATATACTCACTGTTTTAATCGATTAAAACATCAAAATAATCGATTAAAAGGTCAAATAATCGATTAAAACTTCAAATAATCGATTAAAACAGAGAGGTTTTGGGTTCTGT